TTGAAGGCCACAGCCATGCCTTGGTAGTTCACCATGGCCATGGTGGTGGAACAAAGAGAAAACAAAGAGACCAAGAAGCACCACGACTTAGGCTGTGGTGACTTAAATTTGGCCACGACCAGGGTTGTGGTGGAAACTATTTTATTAGTTTTTCTTTCCTTTTTCACTTAGGACTCTTTTGGGTATTTAAGTATAATTGAGATTAGTTGTCAGGGGACGCATTTTACATATTTTTGAGAGGAGAGGACGCACTCTTGGGGCTTGAAGACTGAAGATCAGATTTAAGAGTTTGATTTTTGTTTCTTTTCAAGTCTGAATATGTTTTCCTTCTTCTCTATTTATTTCTTTGTTCTTAGGATGGAGTAAATATCTTTTGTTAGGGGAGGATAAAACCCTAATTATGTTTTGAACAATTTTTATTCTTAATACTAGATTCATATTTATGAATTTGTGCAAGAGTTTAGGTTTAATGCTTTATGAATGTTGGATTGATTTAATTACCTTGATGATGTTTCGAATAGAGAAGTTAGGGTTTGTTGCTTAATTCATATTCATAATTGTTTTATTGGAATAACATTGCACAACGTATTAAAACTAGAAGTAATCGAATAGAGATTCTAGGATTAATTTGTGGTCCATCTAATTCACAACTGAATAGGGCGAATTAGTCGTGAGGGATTGATGAATTTTTGCTTCTTAATTTCAGAGTAACTGAATAAGCATCTGTATTAAGTTGAATATTATGCCTGAATAAGGATAATTAGCCTTAGAAGAATCCTACCAATTCATAGCACAAACGGGTATTAAGAGTAGTTGACAAGCATAATTAGGGGAAAATATGTACCCTAACTAAATTAATACTAAAAAGTTATTCACATTGTTTATTTGTTTAATTTAGTTATTTTTAATCCATTAGCTTTACACTCTAAAATTTCGTTTTCTCAAATAACGTGTAGGTAGTTTTAGGTAATTACGAATATTTGCTTTGATCTTTGTGGGACGATACTCAAACTCATCACTTTATTGCTTGAACACAACTAGTGCACTTGCTAAAGTTGATTTAGTCGTATCAACGACTTCTTCAAATACAGGCTCCCACTCAAAGCCTACATGAAAGCATGCAAATTAGCTCCATAACTTAACAAAAAAAAAGAGTTAGAAGTTAAGAATTAACTGAAGTTGTTGAGTCACTGTCCATTCGACCGTGGCAGTCATCCCCATCTGATTTAGTTGGGTTCCATTAGCGGGCAGCAAAAATGACTCGGCCAGGTGACCCATCCGAGCTACGTCGGAATAGATTGAGGCCGTGTTGGGAAGAGTGATCATCACCTTCTCGTCCTCATCAAACTATACCTCCTTTGATGAGCCGGCTTCGATCGACGACTATCTAATTGGAGGAGTTGACTCAGTTTGCTGGACTTGAATTCTCTTCGGAGCTGACTCCCTTTTCCTCTTGGCTCTACACTATGCAGCCATACCCACTCGCACTCGATATGTTTACTTTAAGATTCCTCATCAGCCTTTCTGTAATAGCAAACTCCTTAAGTGTTAGTGGATGAAGAAACAAATGCCTGAATAGTATATGGTTGTTGTAGCGAATCAATAGCACGTGCCACACTTGCTTCGATAGGGGGAATGGAATTCCTCTCTAGACAGCCTCGACTCTCGCCCACAGATGACTTGCTCTCAGGTTAGACTATTTCAAGATCACTCTCTTATCTCTCTGCTTTTTCAGAATGGAGAAAACTTCCCTCGTTGTCACGTCCAAACCGTCTTTGCTCTGTCCGACTTAGTTGAAGTCAGGATTTGTAAAAGAAAGGGAAGACTTAGTGATCACAAGTATAGACGATAATTGGTCTCTTACCCGTGGCTCTCCATGTGTATGGTATCTTGCCCCGACCTCTCTCACTGAATATGACCTCGTCCTTCATAAAGAAGAATCGCTTCTTTCAGTTCTTGTCACTTAACCTCAAGGTGGCCACCAAGTGGATGCGGTCGTGCCTTAGGGTGACGACATATCTGCCCTTCTCTCGGTCATGCTCTTTCAGGTAGTAAAAATGTAATAGCTCATGTAGACCAAACATCACTCAGTTTTGAGCGCACAGCAGCAGTCTCCATCTGTTTGGCATTATTTGTGTTGGTGCGATCATAAAATGGTTTAACAACTCCCAAACAAGTCAAGGCATGGGAAGACATAAGCTATCGTGGAACCATAGCTCGTACATACTTACCCATCCTTTTGCCTCCCAGTCTACCCTTTCGTAGCTCTTCGGTATTCTGATCTCCACAGAGCTAGGAATGTGGTATTGCATCCAAATTCTCCACTGGTATTTCTCCTTGAGCAAAGGCAGGTAGTCAGTGCCTAAAATTTCACTACTCGATCAACTTGGCTCCTATACCGACCCACTACTGGTTGAAGCATCGCCCTTAGAACTATCAAACTCATCCTTGGTTTCTTCCCCACTCGTCCCTTGCCTCTCGGAGCTGTCGCTACTCAATTCAATAGTATCACTCAGCTCAGAGACAACCACATTCAGCCCCTTAGGAATTCCCATTGGCAGTACTACCATGGTGGGAGCACGCTCGTACTCGCCCCTTGCGTCTATCTCCATATGACTCTCCTCACTCCATTAAAAGTGAGACATAGAATGATCCTCTGCAACACTACTCGTTGCACTCAATTTGTCTAGTAGACCGACCAGATGACCGAATAAACCAGACCCCTTACTGGCCCTATTACGCACAACCTAAGACTACACTCGACTAGGACAAGGATACTGAGACGAGCTGAATGGAGATATTGGGTAACTTGGCTTCTTCTTCTCTCCAGCAAACCTAAAAAACCCAGAAATCCAATAAAATCACCCAAAATCTCCAAAAAAAAAAACTGACTAAAACCTCACCAAAACTCCACAAATAAAAAAAAAAAATAAAAAAAAGAAAAAAAGAATGAAAACCTAGGAACTCGACTTCCTCAACAAAGATGCCAAACTCAAAAATATCAAACTCTTGGCTTTAGCAAAACCAAACTAGAAACTTGTTTAAATTTGTGTAAACTCTCCCCAAGGAAACCCCGCAAAACCTTACACTAGTTCCTACTCAAACAGGCCTAAAAACTGCTCACAATTTGTCTAGAAATGCAAAGAGAAACGAAAAAGAAGAAAAGCTCGCAAGGAAACAAAGTTTTTATCGTGATTGACTGAGAAATCCGGCGAAAGTAGCACACCACTGCAACAGAAAAGTATTTTAAGAGAGAGAAAAAGCAGGCTTCAACAAAGAGTAAAGGTGAATAGTTACCCCAAACACGCTTCTCCTTCCTTTTAAAATGCCTTGCCTAACAGAGATCACATGTGACAATAATCGATTGGCTGTGACTTTCTGAATTCCTATTTAAAAGGAATATGAGATCTCAATCGTACACATGTCATACGATAGGCCTGCCTCTAGAACTGCAGCCTCTCGTTCCCCACTCAAAGTATATGAAACCCTACAGTACATGTGTCCCGTTCTCCCGATGCCACCAAATTGCACTCGGACAAAGCTCACCTCACCCGAGCAAGCCGACTCGATCTCCAAACTTTGAAAGGAAGCAAACTTTGAAAGGGCGAGTATCTATCTTCCTTTCAAAGTTCTTAAGCAAACCACATAAGCACTCGGTTTGGCCAGCTGAGTGAGTACTACAAAGGATTGCGCCTCGTATCCTATCATTCGGCTTAATCAGCCGAGTGTACGCAGCTATAAAAGGATTGCGCCTCACATCCGATCACTCGGCTCAGTCTGCCGAGTGGGCACTGCTACAAAAATTATACCACGCCTTCTTTCACTCAGCTTATTCAGCCGAATGTGCTCAACTACACAAGGGTGCGCTTCGCATTCCATCACTCAGATCGTTTGGCCGAGTAAGCACGTCTACAGAGGCACCTTGAATCTTTCATCAAGATGAGATATCTTCATTCAGTTGAGGGAACACTCGCTCATCTTGGTGAGCCATCACTTGGCCTGGTTAACCTCCCTTCAGACCAGTTACTCTGCAAGCTAAATACTTCTTAGCATAGAGAGCGGGGGGCTAACTGTATGAGCCAAAAATCACCTATATCAGGCCCAAACATGTATTTGCTATTACATAGGCCAAAGGCCGCGGTTCAATTCTGGTTGGGCCAGTATTAGAATTCATGGCATGGACCAAAACGTGCGGCCCAAATCCAACCTTTCTTCAGAATGGGCGTCACCGATAGCCCACCTAAGGCCAGGCCTTTCAGATCAAGGTAAGTAGGATTCTTCCTATTTGGTTCTATCCTAATTCGCCCAAGATTTCGTATCTTAGGTGAATTAGGACTCTTGCTACAAATGAGGCAACTAAACCAGGATCTTTCCTATTCACTAAACCTTTTCCCTTATGGATTCGAAGTCCTATTAGGATACGAAGATCTTATAACTACTATATAAACATGGGTTACTCCTTTGTTTAGGGATTCAATCTCAATACCACCTCCTTGCATCCAAACTCTTGCTCCTAAGAGTTATCCACCCATGTCGTGGTTCTAGTCTTCGACTAAACTTATGGTAACCCTTCCTTCTCTTAGCCCTCACTAAATTGCCTTATTCAGCCTTACTGACTTGAGCGTCAGAGTGCCTAAGATAGACACCACACCAGTGTTTACGTAACTTCACGCTTGTTTTATTTGTGTGCAGGTATAACGGATTGTTAGTGGTCTCAACCTTACGAGATCAGACCCTATTTTCGTAACCGTAGAATTTTTGCATCTACAAATGTGCTATTGTTTTTCATCTTTGTGAATAATAGTTGAGGATATATTGTTCTTTTCCTATCCTTTTGCCATCGATAAATCAAGACAAATTTAACTTAAGGGGTACTTCAGGAACTTCATTACTTCGCCACGGTCAAAAAGTCATAACGGCTATCCAATGTCAGGGGAATTTTTGTTATATTTTAACATTTAGGGGTATTTTGTAATTTTTCTAAACCTCAGGGAAGCTTTAAACCCCTCTCCTTTATTTTCCTTCTTCTGCAAGGTTCATTCTATTTTCTCGGCAACCAAACAGGGGAAGACCGATGGAGTTGGAGAATTTCGAACCGATATTTGGAGAACCGAAAGTCGAGTGGACCGGCTCGGCTTCGGGTTCCGTGATTCGGTTCTTACTCTATGTCTTCGCGCCTAATTCCTCTAACCTAATTATCCATGCCACCGATTTTCACTCCAATACTTGGGAGGCTAAACGCTCCGTTTTGCAGCTTGAGGACATGGTATGTAATCTTCCTCTCTTTGTTTGTTAAGAACCAAGAATCACTATATTTGATTTTACTGGTCTTGCATTTTGTTGGTTGCTGAGAAAATGTCAAAAAATATGTAAGAAAGAAAAAAAAAAAAAATGAAGAATAAAGATCGTGAATAAGGAAACTAAGGAAATAAATGATTAATTAAAAAAAAAATGAATTTAGCGCGAAAATAGATAGTTGAAGTGCTTTTGGAACAAGTGTCCCTTGTTTCTTTTTTTTTTTTTAAATGCTTTCTATAAGAGCAGTTTTTAAGTAAGACGGTACTTTAAATTACTACATTCCTTAGCATCGAATTTATTTTAGGGGTTGGCATTTTGTGTTGTTGGTGGGTATATGGCAGGTTTAATTTGGTTTAAGTGAAGAGCTAGTAGATCATTGAAGCATTTTCAAGTGTTGGGTTTTTAGTATTTTGGGTTTAGATCATGAATTGATGCTTTATTTTACTTTTCCGATCATATGTGTAGAGGGACGAAATTGGAGTAGGGGGCTCGTGGTCAGAGTTCATTGACTATGTTGTCTCTTCCATTAAATCGGAAGATGTAAAGCTTGTTCTAGGGGGATCTTCAGACTCAGATGGTAACCAAAATTCCAAAGTTGTCATTATTTTTAGGCTATTAACTATAATGTTATGTTAGCGTGTTTTATTTGAGGTAATTACTAGCTCATTCCGCACAAAAGAAATCTTAAAAATCTAGCAGAGAAAACTTTCTAATGCTACACTTACCGTTCAATGTGTTCCAGGTGTTGCATATGCAAAATTAGTAGCTCAAAAATCGAAAGGAATGCCATTAGTATCCATTTCTCTCACAAGACTTGAGGGATCTGTTGCTTCTAAGGCTATGGAAAATCTGTCTTTACAGCTGTTCAAAGCTTTCAAAAGCACGCAACATTTACTTACAAATGGTAATATATATTATATTTTAATTATTCTTCTTCTTATTTTTTTCTTGGTAAGGGGATGTTGTATATATACTTGAAAACTTTTACTGTTTTAAACTTCACATGGTTTATTTTATAAATCTTATAAGTTTTTAGAACTGTGGTTGTTGTTCTAATGTCTCCACAACTATTAGCAACTTGTAAAAAGGGGTCACTGAAATGTATCTTGGATTGTTAGCTTAAGACTTTTACACTTGCACAAGGAGATAGCCACTAAAACGGGTCTTGGATTGACATGTATTATTTACTTGGATGACGGTGGGCTGATAATAAAAACGTAATAGATATTACTCTATCATGAATCTACTGGATCTCATTAGGTGATGAATTGGTCTCCTTAAGAGAGAACTTATTACAATCTTGTATTGTCATCAATTTTTTGTATATAGCATCTATGCCAGTGATTCTATGTGTTTTTCTGATGCATTCTTCCAGTTGCACCACTTTTAACTTACCTTCTTTTATGCATTATATTTTTGGTGGCGTATAATTTGTATAGTTCTTATCTTGTGATGAAACCATCTTGTGAGAAAATTAATTATTGCTTATTTTATTTATACTTCAGAGCAAGAACGCTCTCTTCAGCTAACAAAAGTGATATCGGTTGAGAAGGTATGCCTTTGTGTCACTTTTATACATTTAAGCTTGCAATTCAATTGTTATGGTTTCTAATTACTTGCATGTTTGTCAAGGCATGTCTTTATTATTTTTCTTTATTTGATTCTCCATTTCTTTTACAGATAATCACATTAGCTTGCGCATTTTTCATATCTTTCTGTTTGTGGTGCATATGGCACTCTCACTTGTAAGCTACAATAACATTTAGGTCCTTAAGGTTTAGGGTAATTAACGTTTGGTTCACTAAAATCAAAACGAAAGATCCCACAATAGCAACAAAAGTCAAACACACCCATTTCAAAAGGGACCAGGAAGGACATATGAAAGGTCTTTTAATAGCCAAGAAGGTTGACAACATAGCAATCTTATCTAAGAAAGGCCTCCAAGAAGAAAAGGTGGGTAGTTAACTAGTAAAAATACGTCGAGTATAATATCAATACTATAAAATGTAGTTTCTGTGATGAATTCTTTTATTTTTTTTGGCTGGATACTGTAAGTAGCTTGTGGATTGTTGTCAAAATCATCCCAAAATATAAAAATCAGTAAAAAAAACTCTTTGCGACACGTCTCTTAACTTCTTTTCATGACCAACTTAATCTTGTCATCAATAGGTTATGAAAAACATTGTTGCAAAAAGTTGAATTTTAATGGTTGGTGATTATTTTTATGATTTTCTACAATATATTTGCAGCATCCAGCACAAAAAATAGGTTTTTGGCTCCTAAATATGCTTTGTTGCAAAAAACGTTCAACACAAAACCTTTCATTTTGTAGTGTAATTTTGGAGACTTGGTGTTCGTTAAGATCCTACATTAGCAACATAAGTCAAACACACCCATTTCAAATGGGACTAGTAAGCAGATACGATTTGTAGCCATTCGTATCATACGAAGGCCCATTTAGTAGCCAAGAAGGTTGACAACATAGTGTACAAGGTATAACTTCCTTAATATAGACTCCATCTGATTTTCCATATGAGCTACTTGAAGCTGATGGATACCACTCCCAAGCCAGCCAACCACAATAGAAATAGCAAGCAAACAATCGAATTAAACCCAGAAAGTAACAAGAATCAGTAGCCAAAATCCAGAAACACTAGCACTTATATTGATATTCCAGCAACACAAAATACACAGCAACAAGAAACTTAACAAAACTAGCCAAAACAGGAAATCAAATAAACCATAAACTAAAACAAGAAATCAAAATTAATGTTGGTCTTCGAGGGCCAACTCCTCCCACATAGTGTTGGACTTCGAGGGCTAGCAACCTCCCACTTTCCACTTTTCTCTTTTCTGAATCCTCCATATCCCACTGTCTCCCTTTTTATTCTATTCCTAATAACAAAATTCTTCAATCATCCACTCCCTTAATGCCATCTGTCCTTCTCCAAACCATCCTTAACATCTCACACACAAGAACCTTCCTGGCTATTGCACCAAAATCACCAACTTCACACCCTTAAGTCTCTTACAATAGACCAGCGTATTAGGAGTGGGTCTCATCAGAAGCCATACCACATGGTTGGGGGGTGGGATCTATGTTTTAGTTATTAGTGCGTGTAAGGCTGCTTCATAGTCCTATGCATCTGAAAATTGGACCAAACATTAAACTAAATGAAATTATGCAATTCCCATTGTTTTGTCCTGGCCAGTGCAGGGAAGACACCCAATTGTAAATACAATACAAACTCAATTCAAAACCATTATAGAAAATACATATCAATTGAAACCATAACAAAAACTAAATTCTACCCAGTCAAATAATAAACCAAATGAAAACTTTTAAACAAATATGCATCTAATAACAAAATAATCACCCAAATACAATAGTGATGGATAGCACAAACCAAAACTGTTTCACAACCCAAGTCAAAATACGATACAAGAGTGAACAACACCAATTGAAAAAACTAAAACCTCTCCAACTGTCATAAACAAACACAACAAATTTTGATTTCATTCATAAAATCATGTACTAAAAAGACCCATTCCTCCAAATTCATGCTAAATCATCCGTCTCTTAAGACTCCATTTCTCTTCAATTGTCCTGCGTTTCACAACCCAAATGTTCACAGCTACAAAGACAACCTAGATAGCTTTGTTGGTCATCAATTTTTGGCTTCAGAAACTAACAAAATCCTTGATTCTACTTTATGGTTCCCGTCTGTAAATGCCTTAGTTGTCCCTTAAGACAATGAAAAGATCTATGCAGTCTTGGTTTGTAACAGTTTTTTGAACTGCTGTATTAGCCTTTCTCTTTTCCAAGGACCATCATTTCATTTCTTTTGAGTTAAGTATTTTATTATTGTCAGGAAAGGAATGAAAGTATTCAGAACCAACTTTTGAATTCAAAAAGACAGAAGTTGCAAAAGATGAATTCCTCAGAAAAAGCCGAATTTTTAGCTCCTTTAATGAGTAATGGTTTGCAAGATTCTCCAGGTGTGTATTGTATTTATTTCAGCATGAAGTGCATCCAAGTTTGGTTGAATAGTATTTGCATTGGAATTTTTAGATTAGAAGTAAGCTGTTCATATCTATGGATTGAAATACCTTTTCCTATTTAATGAAGAAGAAAAATGAGAACATCTTGCTCCCACTCTCATTCAGTCAGCAGGCGGGTTAATTTCATAATAGGAGTCATCATGATGTTTTTTATAGTTTATAGGAGAGACCAAGGAGCTAGGCCTAGAGCCCTCTGCACGGATTTGTTTATGGAAACAATATAGGCTTCGGCATCAGCTAGCATGCTAAAGCCTAAAGTCAAGTCATTTAAGGTTGTTAAAAGTTAGAGAGATAGAAAAGACTGCAATTCAAGATTTGGCCTTTGTGGGTCAATTTGACCTGTGTCTGAAGTCATCATTTCTATATGTTCATAATTTTCCTGCTTTCATAAAACCTGTATATATTAACCAACATATGTAGCTCTTTAAATTTTCCCGTCACTCTATATTGCCAGATTTTATTTGTCTCTGTGTGAACTTTGAGCTATTTGGTACTAGCAATCTTATTATTATTACTTTTCAGAAATGAGTATATCATTAGCAGCCAGCTCTTTTATTTTCTACCCCTGAACTGCAGATAAACAAGCAGCTCAAAGTCCCATCTCAACCAAAGTTGCTAATCGAGTAGTACCAGCATACCGCAGGTACTTGAGCATTTACACATGATATCATCCATATGTTGTAATTTAATTAGTATCAGCTAACAGCCGTATTGTTTGGGCAGGGCAAAAGTACGGGGTGCTTTACTGCAAGATTCTGAAGATGATAAAGATAACTAGAGTTGGAGAAATGACAGTTTTATTACTATGAGCTGCATCAAAGTCTCAGTTTATGACCATGAAATTCAGCAATCAGAACAACACTAAAGAATTCGGTTATAAAACATCAGACTAACACTAGAAGAGAGTTCATGTAAATGCTGGTTATCTTCCAATATCTTGTATTCCATTTACCAAGATGTATTAGGTATTTTCCTATAGAAAAGTTTGATTTCTGGATTAGATAGTTTTATTGTTGTACTGTTAACAATCTTGTAAATACTACCTTTTTAAGTCTCTGATCTGTTTCTCTTATAGCCGCTGGAATGGTTATAGAGTGTATTTTTTTTTTTTTTTTTTTTGGGGGATGGGTCTGAAAATTTCTGATGGTTTATTTTCTTGGCCATCAAAGCATAGTAAAGTGTATAATACAACTATTTGTATAGGTGATGAGGCTCATTGATATTATTATAATGCATTGGATCTCATAGATCAATACGTCTGACTGTTAGGCCATTCTACCATGCTGGAAAGTCGAAACTATCTAGACATGCATCGGGTATGGAATATGGATCCCTGAATGATGATTTTGCTTTTTTTTTTTTTTTTTTTTTCCAAAAGCCTTCCTTACTAATTTTAAAGTTTACAAAAATCCTTGTCATTTTTCTAACAGACGATAGAAACTTTGTATAGGATACAAGACGATCAAATGGTCAGTTGACTGTGTTTATCGGTATGGGTTGGGGCTATTCTTTTTTAATGTCCTTCTTGCTTGGTAAAAAAAAAAAAAAAAAAAATTTAGAGATAGATTAACGAACTTTATTACTTTCTTTGGCTGCAGATAGGAAATCAATGCCATTGAATGACCAAAGTTGCTGTAGCTGATTCTTCTTAATCAGGAGGTCTCCCTTAATCATACAGTTTCATGTAAGTGCTTACAGTAATATTAGAGTTTGAGATAGAGAATTAACGGTTAAACCATGGAATGCCTGAAGATTGAGCTGGAGATTGTCTGAATAGACTTCATGGGTTGCTCCAGAACAACTACATATGGCATGATGATAGAGCGTAATACGGTTTATAGGATCTGAAATTCATTTTTCTACTGATAAATGAAGTTATTTGGTACAAGATTATCTGTGAATGTCTGGTGTAGTAGTCAAAATTAATGAAATGCGATCTTCGAAATTGTTACTGGAGTGGTGCTGCAATAAATTTTACACTGAAATTCCATCGACTAGCCAATACAATATGGTATTCGCATGTTATACACAGCAATTTTAGGTCCTTAAAAAGTATTGTAATAGTTGTCATTTGCCGAGTGAACTTACCGTTGATCTTTGGAGAGCACTGGTGAAGGAGAATGCAAGGAATAAAGACACTTGGCTATTATTTCTAGTTGATGTGTACTGTGATGATAATAATGTTGCATTCTCATTCAGAAGATGCATCCTCTCGGCCTCCGGGTTTTGCTTGTCTTGGTGTGAAAAAAGGGCCAGCAACCAGATGAAAATTTGCTCTCAGCTTGCCTGTATAAAGTAGTAGATACACGAAATGAATTAGTAGATGAAAATTTGTACATTTCATTGAACTGCAGTAGAGGTTTATGAATGTTTCGAGACTCCGAGGGAGATTTCAGGTGAATGTTCTAACCAATAAAGTTGTATTTGAGTCAAATCATAGATTTGATAAATGGAAATTTTCTTTCTAATAATTTAACAGATACCTGTTTGTGCTACTGTTGTGTTCACTGCTTGTGCTACTGTTGCTGCAGCTGAAATGTTTGACAACAGTCGGTTTATTCTCTCCTGCCACAAATCTCTTTCTGATCCACTGCTCTTTATCAGGTTGATTCTCAGATATGTCAAGTGATGACCTTGGAGAAACCTTGGCCCGATTTCTGACGTTTGCTTTCTTTTTCGAACAAAAAGATATTGGAAAGAACATCTTGATTAAGAATGTTTCCTTCTCCATGCTTTCACTCCTCAAAATCTCAGCCGACTTGATGCTCCTTTTCTTGTTCTTCTTCTGCAGTTTCTTGGTTTCGCCTTCATTCTCAAAACAGCAACTTCTCTCATCAATCACTGTCTCATGCTTGACCTCTTGCTGTGTTTGTTGCTCGTCGACAATATCTTTCAATGAGAGTTCATAACTCCACTCGGGCATGTTATGAATCATCTCCATCAGCTCCTTTCTGCCTTCCGCAATTGCCTGCGACCGTATCCGCGGTGACAGATTACTGTATTGATGGTTGCAGGGAAGCAAAGGAGAAGATTCATATGCACTGATTTTCGAACCATTTGCCTTCCACAAAGGCGGGGAGTAAGCGCCAATTCCATCACCAACCTGTTCTTCGAAGTGAAACTCATTTCTATTATGCTCAGAACATGAACTTTTACCTGCACCCCAGAAGTCAAAATCAATACTTCCTTTACTTTGACGCTTGCTATGCATCTTGCAGGTTGAGATTGAAAGAACAAACTCGTTTCGCCGTCGCCGGCGGTCAAGCTTGGTTTAGAGAAGAAGTGAATGAATAGAGAAGAAGTGAATGAAGGGAGAAGTAACAAGAGCAAAGTTGTGACAAATGTGTTTAAGAGGGCAGCATTTTCATGGAAGAGTGAAGTCTAGCCATTGTTTATTGGTTGGAACTCAAAAGTCATTGCCGTCTTGGATAGGAGGACAAGGGCTGAGTCCAATTTTCTTCACCTGTCTCCATCACAGGTTTTCATTTAGACAAATTGCAACCACCGATTCCTGCATTTGATTTTGAATCTAATACTTTGTTTTGTCCATGCATTTCGTCATTTTACTTTAAAATTTTTCCTCTTAAAAATCTTTTAAATTGGGTGTTCGTATTTAAACATATTAACTTAGAAAATTTATGAGATTTGAAATTTTTTATTGTCATGCTGATGTAATAAGACTGCCCAAATGAAAATTAACTATATATTGCATATATGTAATAGTATTCATCGACCACGTACATATAACGATGTAGTGAAACTGTTATATGTAAGTTTTTTTCTCGTTGAATAAAGATATATAAATAGAATAGGTTGAAAATGAGTTACAGTTGTTGAAAAGTTGGAAATTTTGGTGAAATTCTCTTAACTGGACTTTGGCGTATGTAAAGAGGAGGTGATTAAATTTGACTGAGGGAATTTGCTTAACCATTACACAATATCCAGATGCTAGGGGCCAAAATTTCAAGGTCCCAATCGTTACCAAAGCACACATATATTTGTCTTATGAGAGTAAACTTGGGTAAAGGGTAATTTGACTAATATTAGTTGTTTGTCCATTTGGGGAATAGTGAAGTTTCAAATGGGTCATAATTTTGGACCAATGATATGTATTGATTGTTGGTATTTTGTCACTCTCTATGAACTTGGGGTGATAATTACTTTAAATATAGGTTTATTTCATTTACTCCAATATCAAACACGCTATTATATATTACTTTTAACAACATAAAACCTTGAAAAATATTAAAACCCACTAAAAAAAAAAAAAAAAAAGATATTTAATACTTTTCAATAAGGTACGCCTTATAGTAAGTGATCTTATCCTTGTAGGAGAAAGATGAAAATATTACGGACCCAAGATGGTTTTAAAATAAACATATCAGCTACAAATAAATGTTCATCCACATGCTATTCAAGGATTGGTATCGATGATCAATCAATCAATCCTATAATTTAGCAGCAGATTCCAACTTTAAAAAGGTTTGATTTTTTGTTCCCGTGTCTTCTAGATTGTCTCTTCAGTAAAGTATGTGTTGACCAATCTATTTGTTCATTAACCATTTCTTACTTACTAATCCATCACGTTTATAGAGTCATTACAAGAAAAATGGCTTTAAGTGTTTAGCAAAATTAGACGTATAGTAAAATTTAGACCTTAAAAGTCTTGTATGTCAAAATTTCGTAGTCGCTACATAGATGCAAAATCGTTTGTCGCAGGAAGTATGGGCATCTAAAAAGTAGGTTAGGCGCAGATTTTTTTTTTTTTTTTTGGCAACTAGCAAATTAGTCTCTAATTGCTAGTTGAAATAGTCATCCAGCTTAGATGCTAAATGTGCAAGGGTAATTTGGTAAAATTGTATCACGACTAATCAATTAGTTGTAAAATGTACCTTTTAGTGACTAATAATTTGTCGCGAATGCCACAAAAATTAGACGCTAAAGGTGTAAGGGTAATTTCGTAAAAGTTTTTCGCGACTATTTTATTAGTAGACGAATGTATCTTTTGGTAACAAAAATTTGGTGGTTAATTCCAATAATTTTAGACGTTAAATGTGGAATCCAAATGTGATAAATTACTTTTCGCTACTATGAAATTAGTTACAGAATGTATTTTTTTGTGAGAAAATAATTAGTTGCAAAAGCATTTCGTTTTTAGTTGGAAAATGTATATACCCAATTTGGTTTCTTACATTTTGTAACTAATGTTTAGTCATTAAAATTAATTTTTTGCATTTAAATAATATAGTAACCGATTGTAGATGAGTTTTGGAAACTAATTATTTTAGTTAGATATTATTGATTAGTCTTGGCTGCTGTATTATTTTTGCAACTAATACTTTAATAGCTAATTGGTTTACACTTAAGAGCATTATTTTTGCTTTTTGTAAATGACCTAGTTTATACATTCAACATCAACAAAATAATTGACATAATATAAAAATCTGATCACTAACATCAAATATCATATTTTCATATATATATATATATATATATTCTATACATGGATTTTTATGCATGATGAGCAATAAAAATCCAAAATGCACTATCATGTGTGCTTAACCAAAAAAGTAAGCATGCACCCCACATTTTCATCAGTAGCTATCTATCTGTGCATAACTAACAAACAAAATGCCCACCCCATGTACACCATCTAAGGATATATGCAAGTAATCCTAAAAAGTCCAAAAAGATGGTCCTACACCCATGTCAAAATATCTACTGTCCATACAACAAAAAACTAACCATCAATATTGTTAGCATCTCAAGAGTCACTAGTTGAGGTTCTTGAAACAGCTATAGCAGATGAGGAAGACTTTTCATCAGTTGGAGATGGACTCTAGCAAATTGGGTGTGTGTAGCTGCTATAGTGATCTGCTTCAGCATCTCCAACATTTGAATATGCTGTTATTCAAGCATTTTGATTTTCTCTTTTTGTTGATCAAATAAGATGAGCTGCTCCTCCAACTGTTTAATCTTATTTTCTTGTTGTTACACTATGCGCCTTAACTCTGCTTCTGTTGGAGTATCATGATACTAAGTCTATGAAAATGCAAAATTTTGGTTTAATCTTATTTTCTTGTTGTTGCACTAGTGTTCAGCATGGTGACGTTTTATTTTGTTATAAGAATTATATTTAACGTTAAAAGTTAAAACCCTAAACTCAATGGCGGAGCTATGAGAGGGCTAGCTTTCGGAAAAAAAAAAAATATGAAGTTAATTAAAAAATTATTATAATATTATTGCAAAAAAATTGCCTTTAAAGCTTTTTTAATTTTTCTTCCTTTTTATTTTCTTTTCATTTGAGCTTTACTTCTTCTGTTCCCTTAAATTAACGTTAGAGCTTCAGTAACCGGATTAAAAAAAAAAAAAAATTGTCATTTTTTTCATCATTATATTTTCGAAAATATTAGAAAAGCTTAAATTTTTAGAAAAATTTAACCTCAAATTGTTATTCTTTTTTGTTATGCCAGAAAAAATAGAGCTGATGTAGAGTCTTGTTAGCATGGGGTGGCCAGAACTTAAGAAGGTTTCACGACCACTCAGATGCGGCCACGTTGCATGATGACGTGAGTGGCATGCTCCTACCAGTGTAGTGGGTGAACGCCAGGTTAGCGAATGGCTGGAAACCATCCTCATGTCAAAATCCCTGCATAAGTTGAGAAAATCACTCGGGTAGATGAGCAATGGGACGTAGGGAAGGATTTGCACGATACTTACCCCACTTGCAGATTTAGTAATCATTACCTTGATTAATCCCACTATAAATAGAGGCCTTCTCTCTCATTTGTAGGATTGGCTAATTTCACTCTGGAATAGCATACTCCCTCTCTCTCTCTCTCTCTCTCTCTCTCTCTTGTATTCTCTAAGCTGTAACTCAGCTCGTTGAACGCGACCTGACCTTACTCTCATTAATACAATATCAGTGGATGTAGGATTTGCTTTTGAGCATCCGAACCACTTTAAACATCGTTCTTCACCCTTTACCAAATTAAATACTTCCATAATCACGTGTGACTTCTAAGCCCACTTAGTATTTCTCATGTGTGAATAGTTGGTGTCAAAATCAAGCATCAACAATTTGGCACTAGAAGGAGGGCCTGATTTAGTACCTGTTCTTCATTAGGAGAACCTCTGACTAAGCGATCCTACTATAGCAAATGGCTCGCGGTTTCGAATCTAAGCAAACCAATTATGGCAATGAAGAGATCCCCTAGGTACAGGAGGACACTTCTCTCGAAATGCCCCCAGCTCAACAAAATATCGTGGGGGATATCCTTTCAAACTCACGGCTTGATCTAGCTTTCATGAGTTACCTGGAGAGGTTCAACAATACTCTCCAAATGGTCAGCCAAAGGCTAGACCGATTGGATCAGGTCGTGCCACCTGAATCAAATGAGGCAGTGCCACCGCCGAAAACACCTACAGGTCAGGTGAAAACGTGGAAAAGGGCAAAAACCCATACCGCACGCACTGCAGTGCGTCAAAGAAAGGGAAAACAAGTGGCGCATAGCAGACCTAAAGACTTCGAGGGACTAGCGAACACCGATCATGCCCCGAGTAGAATATCCGTGGCGTTGCGACTCGGTGACATCTCGCGGCCTAAGCCATCCCGCGTCACATCGCACGAGCACTCCCACAAAAGTGTAATGCAGGGAGATTCTCATTATCGCCAAAATGACAGCTCTGATCGTCGTCGTGTAGGGGATTCCCACCGTCTGCTAGTCGATTCGCACCACTGCGGAGGTTGGGAAGATTCCTTGAATCACTTAACCCCATCACACGACTCCAGCTAGCGTGTGTCAGGATTGGTCGGAATTGCCAGCCGCGGCAAGAAGGAATCAGACTTGCGGTTGTTCCTCATCTGACACCGTTAGGGTCGAACCCACGTTGCGGAAAGTGATCCCTAGTTAGCTCTGCTGCCTTAGATTGAGGAGCTATAACGAGCTCTGGATCAGCTTAAGGCTCAGCAAAATGAGCAAGGGAAGGTCACAGAGGCGTCTCCCTTTTCTCTGGCAGTGTTAGCTGCTCCCCTCCTGTCAAGATTCAGAATGCCCGACATGCGAGCATTTGATAGGAATTCCGATCCGCAGAATCATTTGTACGAGTTCAACAACCTCGTAGAAATCCACCAAGTCTCTAAGCAACATAAGCCAAGAGAGGGATAAGCCCTTACCTCCTATGCCAAGCGATGGTTTAAGTCACTCCCAACAGGATCAGTCAACTCGTGGTCTCAAATGAGCTCGACATTTCTGAGACACTTCTAGGCAAATAGAAAGTTCTCAATACCGCT